ACTGTTTGTGGGGGTGTCTTACACTATACCTCAATAAAGTACCTAACGTACCGTAACTTCCACCCACACTACTCAATAATCCCATGGAAGCAGATAACTAATGATCCTGACTTAACTTTTCAACAAAGAACAAGCATATTTACTATCACCTCGTCAGGAAAATCACAATAGATTTAATAAAGTCAGTATTTCCAGATTTTCAAGTTCACAAACAAGTTTCTAAACATGTTGCCCAGTGTCTGACAAACCAACTTGGTCCCAATGAAGGTATTAATTGCCATAAAGAAATGAAGAATCAGTTCAAAGGACCACAGGAATCAGCTACAGACCCCCCTGCTGCAGGTGGCCTGGATAGGAATACATTAGAAATACGCCTATTCCTGACTGGATATGCTTCTGATAAATCCCAAGCCAAGCCAAGCCACAGGTGGCACAGACAGGCTGGCCACCCACTGATCACCCACAGCCCGGAGAACACGCGATCCCAGATTGTACTGTTCAGTTGATGTGAACAGAAATGTTTACCATTCCAACATTTCATGTCATCAGCTAGCTACCCACTAAAATTATCTATTCCTGTGGAATGCTTGGAATTTCCTCATTGGTAAGGATTTGGAAGGTTTTAAGTACAGACTCTATTCTCATAAAATGGTGCATTCCCCTAGACTACCAGGGCAGTTTTGTGGAAATCCACAAACCATAAGATAAGACAAATATGCTTGTGCCAAAGACAGTGCCTCATGCAATTCTGGGAATATAATTTTTTTTTTTACTTTGGATGCTAAATCCATGTTATCAATGATTTATATTTACCCATTTTTTATCTTTAAAAGTATATAAAAGTATTCCTGATATTAGAAAAAAACAATATTTGTCTTATTGGACCTGGATTACCTTTCAATGATTTATTTCTAGCTCCATCCAATTACCTTAGAATTTAATAATTTCTTTTTTGAAACAGTTGAATAATATTCTATTGTATAAGTGTATCACATTTTCATTATCCAATCATCAGTTGATGGACATCTAGGCTGTTTCCAAGTTCTGGCTCTTGTGAATACCATAGCAATGATCCTGGATGAGCAAATATCTCTGTAATAGAATAGAGGGTCCTTTGGGTATATGCTCAAGAGTGGTATAGCTTGATCTTGACACAGATCTTTTCCAAGCTTCAGGAGGGACCATCAAACTGACTTTAAAAGTGGCTCTATGAGTCTGAAGTGAGCAAGTGTTCCATTTCCTCTCATCCCTGCCAGCATGCGTTGTCATTTGTTTCATTGATCTTGACCATTCTGACCGGTTTAAACTGAAGTCTCAAAGTAGTTTCAATTTGAATTTCCATGCTGGCTAAGTAAGGACATTGGATATTTTAAGTGTTCCTAAGTGCCATTTGTATCTTATCTTTTGAGAACTCTCTACTTTGTTATTTTAAATTTTAAATTCAGTTATTTCTTTTCTTGATGTTCAGTTATCTTTAGCTCTCTCTATATTTTCGATATTAACTCTCATCAGATGTGCAATTGATAAAGATATCTTCCCGTTTTATAGCCTGCCATTTTGTTCAAAGGATGGTGTGCTTTTCAGCTTCATGAGGCCCCATCTACTGTCAGCCTTGGTGCCTGTGCTACTGGTTTCCCTTTCAGAAAGATTTTCCCTGGGCTAATGAGTTAAAAACTATCACACCATTTCTTTTCTATCAGATTCAGGGTATCTGGTCTTATGTTGAGGTCTCTGATTCACTAGGAGTTAAGTAAGGCTCAGGGTGGTAGGTATGAATCTATTTGCTTTCTTCTAGATGCAGGTATTCAGACTAACCAGCACCATTTGTTGAAGATTTTGTCTCTTTTCTTAGGACTGCTTGACCAGAGTTCTAAGCAGAACTTCAGCTTGCAATCTAAATCTGAGTCTTAATTTATTCCGAACAAACTGCCAGTCAGCCCACCCACATGCCCACCACGAGCCACCACTGTTTACTGTTAGTCCCTAGAACCTCACAGAGTCCTCGAAAGAAAAGAAACTCCTGAGACAAAATATAATCAAACAGCACATGCACAGATCAAAGAAAGGATAGTAAATGCTAAAATTGAAAAATACCAAGTAAAAATACAGGCAAGCCCATAAGAATATCACCTAACTTTTCAGCAAAAAACAGAACAATACAACAAAAAGTGGTCAAAAAAACCCACCACATGTACAAGAAACAACAAACAAACAAACAAACAAAAAACAGAACAATATTTAGTAATAAATCTCAATGTTAAATGTCCCAATTGCCTAATAAAAGGACACAGGTGAACAGATGGAGTAGAAAAGACAATCCATCTTTTTGCTAACTCCAAGGTGTGCAGCAAGCCATAGGGCAAACACTGCATTAGGGTAAAGGGATAGAACAAGACAGCAATGTAAATATTTGCCAAGATGGACTTCAACCCAAAATTAATCAGAAGAGACAGGGATTCCTCATGGATTTCTCAGCCATCCATATTACGTTCCCTCCCTCCCTCCCTTCTTCTTCTCTACCTATCCCCGCTCCTTTCCTAAGGAGGCTCCCTTTCCCTGTTTCCCAATCAGATCACTGTCTCCTTCTATTCCCTTCTTCTGTAATAACTTTGACACCATCTAGTTGCTCCCTAATTCGACTAAAGACTGCTTAACAAGGACACTATGCCGGATACTAGAAACCCAGCTAACTACACAGTGCTAGTGGAGGCATGGTTACTGAAGAGAATCCACAACCACTATTTCATTAAATTACCATAGTACTTAAAATAATCTATAAACATTTGTCCTTATACCCACACGTAAGTGTAGTCTTCACCCCTCATCAAGGAAATTTCTCTTTGCAACAGAGGAAGACCATTACAATTTGAGAGGCTAGAAAGATAGCTCAAAAGGTTAAAAATTCTTACTGCTCTTATAGAGGACCCAAGTTGGATTCCTAGCACCCAGGTAGGGTAGCTCACAACAGCCTATGACTCCAGCTCTCAGGAATCTGATTCCCTCTTCTGGTCTCTGAGGGAAACTGTACTCATGCACATACACTCCTCAAATCTTCACAGATACATCTGAACATGCGTAATTTTTGAAATTTTTAAAAATTCTGTCTCTAATAACAATATATAATTCAGTTCAAGAAGCTCCTCAGGATATGGCTATTTATAATCCTTTGGGCCATGTACAGACAGAAAAATCAGTTGATTTACATGGTCACAGAATTAAACTACTCAGCAGAAAACATGTTCACTCTCAGGGTAGGTATAAGGGCTGAAACAAGTCCCTACAAAAGTCCTGTATTGAAGCCCTAGGCCCAGAGCACTAAATGATGATTAAGTTAAAGTGAGGCCTGTAGGATGGCCTCATTTGAATCTGACAGGTCCTTAAAAAGATGAGAAGTCTGTGCATGGATAGACATCAGGGGTAGACACACACAGGAAAGGTCCTGAAAGATGATACCAAGTGCATTGTGTTCCAACAGCCAAGGAGAGATTCAGAGAAAATCTATCTCACTGGTACCTTGACCTTAGCCATCATAATCTATATTGGGAGAAATAAATTTCTATTGTTTAACAAGATGAGGTAGCAATTTGTTAAGGCAGCCTGAACATACTAAGCAGCTAGTGCAAATTTATCTGTTACCACTGAGAAGATGACCAAAGTTGAACAGTACTGTCTGCACAGCCCAGGAGACCTGGACTGTCTCACCTGTCTAGGAATTTTATGGCTTCTCCTTCCCTAGGGGACTTTGAATACTGGCCTGTTCTTTGTGATAGGGCCATTGTTCTACAAATGGAGATATTATATGCTACTATCATTGGATTAAATTACTGTATATTCCAGAAATGTGCAGCAAATAATTTGTTGGGATTTTAAGGGTGTGCTGGCTTGAATGCGAATGGACTCCAAGAACTCATACATTTGAGTACTTGGTCCCTAGCTGATGGAACTGATTGGAAAGAATTAGGAGATATGGCTTTGCTGGAGCGGGTGTGTCAGTAGGGATGGATGGGATTTGAAGTTTCCGAAGACTCCTTCCACTCTGAATCTGTCCTGTGGTTGTGTCTCGAGAGGTGACCTCTCAATCACTCTATCAGTGCCACCCCTGCCTGCCTGCTGCCACGCTACACACCGCGATGGCAATGACTCTAATCCTCTGAAACTAGAAGCCTCAAATAAAGTTTTTAATGCTGTCTTGGTGTCATATCACAGCAATAGAAAAAAATTTAAAAAATGGCTAAGCGATCCTTTTAAATAAAATTGGGTAATATATTGAAGGCCCTGGCAACATTTAGCCTGAGGCCCTCTCACAAGTGATCCTAAGAATCATGAAGAGATCACTGCAGACCAGAAACAATCACTAGCCACTAAAAGACCTCCTGTGGAAGGAAGATAAGCTTATGTTTAACATCTGTAGCCAATCCCAAACCCAAGAATCTAGGAATTTCATAGATGGAACCTTCTACCAATACATTTAATAATTAGTATTTACCAAAAGTAATAAAGTTTTTTTGATAGTAAAAACTATTCTCCTAAGCAAAAGAAAGCAAATGTTAGAACTGCTGTAAATTTTGGTCTAGTAATGATTATTTATTCTCCTGGAGTTCAAACTATATTATGCACTAATCCGTTCTTTTTACATTTCCCTCTTAAATGACATCAAGAAAAGAATAAAGCAATCATATTACCCTACTGTCGCATGAGATCGCCCACTAAACCTACTTTCCCAGAAAGAATCAAAACAAAAACGGCCAGACTGTAGATCATACAACACACGTCATAGACAAAAATCCTCAAGTGACAGTTTTTTTCTACTCCCTAAATCCAAATTATAAAATCTCTGATTCCAAGCGGACACAATCCTATCACATAAGATCCAAGTCACATCCCGGCTTTCCTCCCTTGGCATTTTTCTAACAAAGTCACAGAACTTTTCCTGGTAAAAATGTCTCCCGCTTACGAGGCAAATGCACAGTTGACGGCTGGACTCAGCTTGCTGTACTCACCAAGGAGGGAATATGTAGATGATGTCCTGGGGATGCCCCCGTAAGTGGTCTGCAGTCTCTCTGGTAAAGAGAACCTTCAGACAGGCTCCCAGTCCAGCAGCTGTGCCCCTGGGAGGGCTCGTGGTTGGTGGCCCTGCTAACTGCTCACACACTGCAACTTGCATGGTGCATTCCTCATGTAGTTCCAGAATTTTCACAGTTAAGACACCAGACTTTCTGCCTAGAAGCAGAACAGACCAAAAAAAAAAAAAAAAAAAAAAGAAAAGAAAAGAAAGAGAAAAAAGAAAAGAAAAAACACACATTCAGAAACATCCTACACATTAACTGCTTCTCTGCTTCTGTCAGAAACTATGTACCAGTGATAGCAAAGGAATGTTCATGGACTGCTGAGTGCTTGAGGTATGAATTTAAAAGGGCAGAATTTAATCTGGATTCCAGGAGTGCCCCTCTTATAGAATTGGCCAAATTACATAGATTTCAATTTCTCATCTATGAAACAGATAATGTCACTTGCTCCAGTCAAGATCTGAGAGAATTCGAGGATAAACAAAGGGGACCCAATGCAATAATAGTTATCGACACACATGTTGTACCAATGTAACAGCACAAAGAACTGGGAGTGTTGGCTCAGTTATAGAACATTTGCCTAGCATGAGTGTGGTTCACCTCATAAGATCAAGTGGCTGGAGTGATGTGGGACACGTAAAATATTCCTAATAAAAGTCAAAATCTTTGCAAAATCCTCATGTTGGGTATGGAAGATGTCATCGATAATCCTAGCTACTAGAGAGACTAAGTCAAGAAAATCCTGAGTTAAAAGCTAATCTGGGTCCTGACTTCTTTGCTCATATTTTCCCTCCTTCTGCTCCTCCTTGGGACATTGGGAGCTCAGTCCAGTGCTCCAGTGTGGGTCTCTGTCTCTATCTCCATCCATCTCCAGATGAAGGTTCTATGGTGATATGCAAGATATTAATCAGTACGGCTATAAGATAGGGTCATTTCAGGTTCTCTGTCCTCAGCTGCCCCAGGACCCACGAGGGGTGCACCCACCCACGGAGACAGTGGGGCTGATCTATTGTGAGCTCACCAAGGCCAGCTGGACTGCGACTGAAAAACCATGGGATAAAACCGGACTCTCTGAATATGGCGGACAATGAGGGCTGCTGAGAAGCCAAGGACAATGCCACTGGGTTTTGATCCTACTTCATGTTCTGGCTTTGTGGGAGCCTAGACAGTTTGGATGTCCACCTTCCTAGACCAGGATGGAGCGGGGAGGACTTTGGACTTTCCACAGGGCAGGGAACCCTGACTGCCCCTCAGACTGGAGAGGGAGGGGGAGAGGAGTGGGGGGGGGGGAGGAGGGGGAGGAGGTGGGGAACGGAAATGGGAGGCGGGGAGGAGGCGGAATTCTTTTTTTTCAATAAAAAATTATATTAAAAAAAAAAGCTAATCTGGGTATCACAGGGAACAAGATGGGAAGGGGAAGAAAGCCAACTAGCTGGAAGAAAGAGCAAACACAGCAGGGGCACACGAAGATAGGTGGGTGATGTCTCCTAGAGAGACAAAAGCTGCTGTGACTCAGAGGAAAGATGGGCTTTTCAAATCTTTGCTATAAAATACACACAAAACAAATAAAAGTTTTTTATGTGCTTAATAACATGTGCTATTAGTTGCAGGTAATGAGTATATTTTATCTTTTTCTATTAGTGTTTAATTTTTAAAATACAAAATTAGCTAAGCAGGAATAAGGAAAATAGAGCTGCAAATAACACTCAGTATCACCAGTCTCTCAAACACTGCAGATTAACAGCAAAAAAGATCAAAAGTCAAGTTTTAAGTTATATATCGCTTCGTTTCCGTTTCCAATTCTTCCTCTCTTTTGCTTCATGGCTTTGTTTTCTTTTCCTCAAGCTCCCCATCCATTCTCCTGACCTAGTGCTAGATTTCAGGTTTGCACACTGAGCTGGCCCACCAGCTTGTCAGGATGACTGCTTCTCATGGTCTGTACCTGTCTCATTGAGGATAGGAAGGAAACAGTGAGGGAAGGACGTGAGCATGTGCAATGTCAAGTTCCTGCTGGGCATGATGTGAGCAGAAATGGAGGTGTAAAGACAAACTTCTAAGACAGCACTGACAAAAGAGCAAGCACATGACTCTGGCACAGCACGGGTGTCTTTAATGAAAAGTAGTTGTTCTTCAACGGAGAACAGAAGAGCAAGCTAGGATCAATAAAAGTCATTTTAGTTTGCATATTTCTCTAGGGTAAGGCAGACAAGCAGCACCTAGAAAATTAGGGGTTTTAGAAGCAAATAGAAAAATGGTCTACAGAGAAACCCTGTCTTGAAAAAGAAGGAAGGAGGGAGAGAGGGAGGGAGGGAGGGAGGGAGGGAGGGAGGGAGGGAGGGAGGGACCCATGCTGATGACTGAGCAGAGAATTGATTGCTGCTGTTTACTGAAAAGCAGCCTGTATCTTTTTAGAAAGACAGAAAGGAATAAAGAAAAGTCTTTCTGGTCTTGTAGCTACAATATTTGCTGTGCATCACACTAGATATGAACAACTACCTATCAGGTAGCAAAAAGTAACTCAGTGGTTACTTTAGAGTACGTAGAAATTCATAAAAGGAAAACAATTATAGGAACACACAAATATTATTAGAGCACAAACACCTATGATTCCATTATTAAAATACACTTAAAAACATAGGATGAGCCACACTATTACCGACTGTTCATTTTTGGAAGCATTTAGTAAGTACTAACAATATTCCAAATAAGATAACACCGTCTCAATATCCACAGCACCGAATGCTTCGGGGAATAAACAAGTTATTTTCTGTTAACTGTTTTCATGCCCTGAACACCACAGCTGGAGAGAAGGGGCTGCAGTCTTGTCCTCTGGGCAGAGTACCACCAGGAGTTCTAGGGGACACAAATAAACAATGCCTTTGTAGAATAAAACAAAGCAGTCTCAATTCCACTTACCCGAGAAAGAAAAAGAGCATGGGATAAGGTCTGTCAAATTATCTGCTGGAGGCAAGCACCAAATTTGAGCCCAAGAGATATAAGTACCAGAGACACTCATTTTAAAAAGAATACTGTTTTGCAATCTGATGAATAGTTCAAAAAAAGGTCATTTCTATGCTGCTAGGGCAATATTTTCCAAAAATGTTGGAGCATGTAATTAAGATATCACATCATCCAGGAAACAGATTGAGTAACTGCCAGAAACAATTACTTAGCTATACTAGAAAGATTTTTAAGAGCCACAGGCCTTTAAGGAGGAGCTGAGTAAAACTGTCTTCTCAATATGACAGGGCTGCTGTACTCATGAACGCAGCAGCTCTGGTGGGCTGCACAAGACCTGCAGGAAGAAAGGCGAGTCAGCACTGGGGCATGGAGTGGGAATGAGTTCTTGAGCCTGAACTATGGAGAGCTGATGGCTTCTGGGGGATGGAGAGTTGGTTTTCTTTAAGGATATGCTCCTGGTTGGTTGCCCATGCTCCAGTGAAAGGCGCCACAACTGGGACTAGCACAAATTGTAGTCATGGACTGTTATAAAACAACAACAGAAAGAATTCAAAAAAATAGAGAACATGAAACTGGGGGAGGATAAGGAAGTGAGGCTCAACCTGGAAAGAGTTAGGAGAAGAATGATCCAAATACACTGTGTGAACATTTTAAAGTATAAATAAAAATATTTTTAATCTTCAAATTAAGAAATACAAACACCTTATTTGTGTTTCTCTAACGGTAATAGTTAATATACATATAGTATTAGCTACCTCTGGAAGCACTGGGAACTGGATCACAGTAAACACAGTGTAATGCCTGGTCCAGCACATGTGCAGTAATTATAGCATTAGCCTTTAAAAGCATTTTCAAGTTAGTTTTCTTTTTTCAGGACAGAGTATCTCTGTGAAACAGCGCTGGCAGTCCTGGAACTCACTCTGTAGACCAGGCTGGCCTCAATTTCACAGATCTGCCTGCCCCTGCCTCCCAAGTGCCAGGCTTAAAACCATGAGCCACCATTGCCCAGCTCAAATCGGTTTTCCTATTCAATCCCTAAGAACTACAAAAACAGGTTTGAAGAAATAGAACCTTTGTAAAGTTGCTACCTTAAGTAAAGCTGTGATACCAAAAAATATGACTGCCTAGGGGCTGTAATAAAATAGCAGAAACAATGAAGGGGTTAGAAAAAAGTATGCTGTATTACCAAAATGCCAGGCAGGATGTGCCTACAGGTACAATAATGTCATGATTGCTATGAGTACAACAATCAGCTTTCCAACCTAATTTAAGGCATATTCCACAGGAGGAACTCCTGTCTAGTACTTCTGTAGATGGGGGGGACATCAGAGGACCTAGTGGAGAAGGAACTGCTATTGTTTTGTTGAATGAATGTAATGTGCATCAAGTTGTTTCTAAACATATTTGCACCCAAAGAATTATTAATGAACAAAAATTCCTTTTTGTAGATTAAGAGTATTTGAAAAATTCATGATCATTGGTGAAACTCCTAAGAACAAGTTTATTTTATTGCTGTGGCATAGAGGCCCGCTGCTTAGTCACTTATAAGCATCTAGATCACTCTCTCCAATGCTTAAATCATCACAGAAGAGTAGAAAGAACCTAAGAGCTGGAAGAAGGGGTGGAGTTATTGTGTTGCAGTTTATTCTTAGAGGGAACAGGAAAGATCGTGAGGCTCCAGGAGTGGCAGAAGAAGTAAGCAACCTTCAAGTGCAGGAAGTTCATGAAATTAACAAAATCCACAAGGTCCCTCTCAAACGTTCTAAAAGTAGTAAATAATTCCAGGGAGAGAACACTCTCTGACACGTTTGCATCCAGGAGACTTGGACCTGTCTTTCAGCGAGAGCATTGTCTCTTCAATTAGCTGTAACTCAGCTGGGGTAGGCTTCTGGTGACGCAGTTGCCCTTGGGTTATTCGTGATCCTATACACCACCTATCATCATACTCCCATAAGCAACCCTAATAAACTCAATATTTGCTAGGTCAAACTTCGATAGAATCATTACTTTGGTCTACCGAATAGAAGCTGGTTTGCCTTTCCCTAGAAAAAGCTTACTGAGACTGCCCCTGGAGAGGGAAGTGTCTGGGTTACTTGTTGGAGAGCTCTGTTCTCTGCACCCTAGCCCTAGGAGGCTCATCCCATGGCTCATGCCAACCCACCAAACCCCAGAGACCCTGGAGTAAGCCTCCCAATACTCGCAACCATTCCCTACCACATCTGTGCTCACCACAGCCTTGGCCCAGGCTGCCCCTAGAGAGGTGAGTGTCTCGGTTCCCAGTTGGAGGGCTCTGCTCTCTAGGCCCAAGACCCAGGAGGCACACCCTGTGACACAACCCGACCCAGCAAACCCCAGAGACTCCGGACCAGCATACACACACACACAGTTTTCCCACAGCATCTCATCTGTGCCTACCAGAGCCTTGGTCCAGACTGCCCCAAACCCTACCTACACCTGAGGAACCCAAGAAGCATATCAGCAGATCTGCCTGAACCTGGAGAAAGAGCAACTACCTAAGCCACAGGCCCTACCTTCACTAACTGGAGAAAGAGAGACCCCGAGAAGCACAGGCAATAGATTTCTGTAAGTTCAAGACTACCCTGGGCTACACAAAATCAACCAGAAACAAATCTAGATGGTGGTGGCCTAAAGCTTTAATCCCAATATTAAGGAATCACGCCTTTAATCCCAGCACTAGAAGAAATATAAAATGGGAGGAGAGAGAAGCTCTGTCTGCTTAGTTTGTGGTTGCCCAACCTTGGTAGAGGTAAGAATTCTCTATTGGTTTGGCTGGCTGCTTTGCTTTTCTGATTTTCAGGTTGAACCCTAATTTCTGTCACTGGGTTTTTAGTATTCATGCTACAGTCACAAATAACAAAAAATATCTTGGGATAATACTAACCAAAGAAGTAAAAGATCTGTATGAAAAGAACTTTAAATCTTTGAAGAAAGAAACTGAAAAAGACATCAGAAAATGAAGAGATCTCTCATGCTTTTAGATAGGTAAGATCAACATAATAAAAATGGCAATCTTGAGCCGGGCGGTGGTGGCGCACACCTTTAGTCCCAGCACTTGGGAGGCAGAGGCAGGCGGATCTCTGTGAGTTCGAGACCAGCCTGGTCTACAAGAGCTAGTTCCAGGACAGGCTCCAAAATCACAGAGAAACCCTGTCTCGAAAAACAAAACAAACAAAAAAAAAAATGGCAATCTTACCAAAAGCAATCTACATATTCAAAGCAATCCCCATCAAAATCTCAAAACAGTTCTCCACAGACCTTGAAAGAGCAATACTCAACTTCATATGAAAAAACAAAAAACCCAGAATAGCCAAAACAATCCTGGACAATAAAGGAACCTCCAGAGGCAAAACCATCCATGACTTCAAGCTTTACTACAGAGCTATGGCAATGAAATTTGCAGGCAAATGGATTGGACTAGAGAAAACTACATTGAGTGAGGTAACCCAGACCCAGAAAGACAAATATAGTATGTACTCGCTCATAAGTAGGTATCAGACATAAAACAAAGGATAACCAGCCTATAGTCCATGACCCCAGAGAAGCGAGGTAACAAGGAGAACCCTAAGAAAGACATACATAGATCCCCCTGGAAAGAGGAATTAGAAAAGATCTTCTGAGAAAATTGGAAATGGGAGGGGGAGGACAAAAGGGAGGGAGGAGGAGAACATGGGGGAACAGGATGGTTGTGATGGGAGAATGACAGAGAGGGAGAGCAAGGAAAGAGATATCTTGATTGTGGGAGCCATTATGAAGCCTGTGAGAAACCTGGCATTAGGAAAATTCTCAGGAATCCGCAAGAATGATGCCAGCTAAGACCCAAAGCCATAGTGGAGAGGGTGCCTGAACTGGCCATCCCTGGTAATCAGATTGATGACTACCTTAATTGTCATCATAGAACCTTCATCCAGCAACTGATGGTAAATCCATAGCTAAGCAGTAGCTCAAGCTTCCAGAGACCAGTCCAAGAGAGGGAGGAATGATAATATGAGCAAAGATGTCATGACCATAATGGGGATACCCATAGAAACAACTGGCCCGAGCCAGGGAACCAGCATAGGACAAAACTAGACCCAATGACTGTGTGTGACAGTTGTGTGGCTGGGGCAGTCTGTGGGTCCACTGGCAGTGGGACCAGGATTTATCCCTAGTGCTTGAACCGGCATTTTGGAACCCATTCTTTTTGGAAGGATACCTTGCTCAGCCTAGATATGGGGGGGGGGGGGGTTGGTCCTGCTTCAAAATGATGTGTCAGACTTTTTCTTGACTCTACTTGGTAAGCCTTACCCTCTCTAAGTGGATGGGGAGGGGCTGTGGGGGGGAGGTGGAGAAGCGGGAGGAAGGGAGAGAGTGTGAACTGGGATAAGTAGGCAAAATGAAAAAAGATTGTTCTAAAAAATTTTTCAAAGCTCACAGAACATTTTATTAGTTAACTGAAATGGAAGGGATATAAGAGACAAAAATCTGTTTGTGGAGACTGTGATTGTTGATTCATTTGAAATACACAGTCAGAATCCGCTGACACGCATGTGAACTCAAATCATCCTGGGCATGTTATTCTGAAAATTAATGCATCTGGCTAATTAAAGTACTATAAAAGAAAGGACAAAGTGAAGTAGTTAGGTGTAGGTCCATATTCTATTTGGTATGGCAGCCAGGTTCTGAAGCCACAGGCCCCACCTGATGGTCACGTATCCTGCCAGGCAATAACCTAACAAAGGTCAGGGTGTTTTGCTCCTTTCTTTGTAATTGGGAGGACGCCTGATAGAGATGCTGATTCAAGCCTCCATGACAGCTAGCATATGGAGCACACAGGTAGATGTGGACATGACAAAAAGCCATTCACCTGGTTACTTAGGAGACAGAAAACTGGTGTATTTCCCACTCAGTTTATGTTCAGGTATTAAAGCAGTTTGGAGAATAAGACGAGAGGAATTCTTCAGGATGTGAACTCAGGACTTCATGAGGGACCAATGAGAATCTCCCTCCCGATAAAGCCATGTGAGTTGTGTCTTTATTCCCATTTCTCCACGCTGATCCAGAGAGAGAGAGAGAGTTTATGTTGGGGTCCAGTTGAGAGAAATAATTGAGGGTCCGGGCTAGCACCAGACCTCGACATAATAGGGCCCAACGTGGGGCTGATCAGTGAACCCCGACAGTTAGGATGTGAACAGGGAGCTTGAAATCATTCTTTTGTAGAGCATAGGAATCATCTCACCCTCTGCTTCCTTGAGACAGGGTCTTACATAGCCCAGGCTGGCCTCAAATTTCCTCTCAAGTTGAGGATGACCTTCAACTACTATTCTGCCTGAGTGCTAAGATTATAGTGTGCACCACCACACCTGACTTACGCAGTGGTGGGCAATGCACATAGGACTTCATGAATGAAAGAAAAGCATTTCACCTATAGACCTACAACTGTAAACCCTGTAAGTCTTTTATTTTCATTTTGGCCTGAACAATCTAGTAATTCACCAAAATTAATGCACTTGATATATATATTCTCTAGCCCTTTTGAATACACGCTAGAGACATGCACTGAGATGGATAGATCTTCAGGCTTGTATAGCAAGCATTTTACCAGTCCAGTCAGCTCCCACACCCCACCAAAATACTTTTCAACTATATTTTGAAAAGTATCCCCCAAAACAAAGACTATTGGAAAGAATTTTTTTTAAGTCACAAAAACACAAACAATCCACCTTCATGTATTTGACGTGAGAAAAGACTTTTTACCTGGAATATTTTGTACCCATCATCTAGATGCTTATAAAAAATCTTACCTAAAGGTGTCATTTGATAAGAAACACATCGATGTCTCCACAAAGAAATGGCAGATCTCTCACGATTCTGCAGTTCTTTTAGTCTCTCTGCCAGCCCGCCCCTGTTTAATTAAATATAATATACGATGTTTAAATAAACAGACCTCAGAACAACTGGAGCTTTCACATTTCATACCCTCAACAAAAACGGACGAAAGGAAACCTTTTGTATGATATTCTCTTTCTGTGTATCATTTCCAATTCCTAGTTTTCCTAGAGCTCTAGTCCCTGATTCTTACCAAAGCTGAACTGCCACTGTACTCACAGAATTTGACAGGGAAGTCGGTATGGTTCCCTTTCTACATTCTTAATTTGTTCACTCCATAGATGTGCTGTGTGTTTACTAGCTGCACTCGTCACTTGGCTACGGTTAGAAAATGCTGCATTCTGCCATGCAAATAGGGCCTCCAAATGTGCAAATAAATAAATGCAAAGTGAACGCAGAGCCTCAGACAAGACTGAACTTGCCAACTGTTGGTGGACACAATGATCAAACAAGAACATTACTTGGACTCTGTAAGATAATTTAGTACCTACACACTACAAGGATCATAAAGTTAGAAAAGGGCAAAGCCAAAAAAGGGAGCCAAAGGAGAGAAAGAGAGAAAGGAGTAAAGGAAGGAAAGTTCTATGGATTTTCTGAATTACTTTCCTCTATTTCATTCCCCACTATGATACAAATGAATCAAACCATCTAGTGGTACGTATAGCTTTACAACTGGACCCACCAGCATCAGGAATGTGCCTGATGTCATATGGGCTATCTTCATTTTAGCCTGGACTCATCCAGGATTTTGTCTTGACCATTTAATAAGCCCTTTTCGAAAACTTTGACTATAAATCCCATGAATCCACTGGTTTTCCTGCTGTATATAACCAACCTCATGCCACTAAGGCACTGACTGTACTCGGTGTATCATGGATCTTTCTTGTCCTCTGGTCTCATGACACAGTCCACGATTTTTGGATACTAGGAAGTGGTTTTTCAAGAATGGGTACACATCCTTGTGCCTTAATTTATAAAAACAACATGAGAAAGGGTATAAATTTTCTCAGCATAGTGCATGCACCCATTATTTGCCTCTGTAAATATTCTTTCTGGAAATACTATTCTCTGCAACTATTCTGGGGACTAGATCTCTTTCAGCACATAATCAGCTAGATCTCTCCATCCGGAGTGTGAGTTTAGGCATCAGTTCTCCCATTGTACCGTTCACTGCTCTCGGTTTGCCCTCACAACCGTGTTCTCCTCCACTGTGATAATTCACCTGGAGCTCTCTGTCACTTTTAGTTTAAGGCACTGCTGGACGCAGGTTCCTTCTCACTCTCAATGTTTTTGCCTACGGACAGGGGCATTATTTCGTTCCAGTTTATAACAAACAAAAACACCTTGGATGACATGAGGTTGTGACATGTCTCTAAAGGTTCTCGCACACATTCTGCGTGGCTCACCAAAGCCAGTCATGGACTGACACACTAGTAACAAGGCTGTTCACCCACTGTGGCTCTCCTCAGCCATGTGAGGTACTTTATCCCTTAGATAAGGCTGTCTTGTATTCTTAAGCATCAATTTGGCCACTCGCTCTGACCATACTCGTGCCACACAGGTGAGCTAGTGGACTTACATTTATTTTTATTTTTCTCTTTATAAGTTATAATTGATAATTGAAAGCGTGTCTCTAACAGAGCACCTGGAACACTGATGTTTAATAAAACTTGAAGAGCAAAGAACACATTTCCACCAAAGCGAGCAGTCGTGCAAGCTATTCATGACCAGATCCACTAATGCACCACTGAATGAACAACTCCATAAACTGCCTCCAAAATAGGCTTACTAATTGTCTATCAAAATCAGAATTGCATTTTAATTTTCTTTCTCAATTAAACAAGTATTTTAAAATTAAAGTCTCAGTCAACATTTTAAAGAAAGAGAAGAATTGAGGAAAAGAAAATTGCAAACATGATTTAACCTTAAAAGCTTCTTCTTTGTTGCTGAGTTTTCTGAAGTCTTGGGAAAGCTGGATGTGTATTTCTGGGGAGTCCTCAATATGGGCTCAGCTGAATTTGCCCCTGAGTCCGTCTGTCTGTTCAAAGCCCATCTTGCATCTGATTTAAAATCCACCCGGAATTTGTGAGGGGATTCTGAATCAATAAACAGGGCATTCTCTGGGTCATCTTCTTTGTCACTATCTGATGAATACTCCAAAATTTCTGTAGGAATTGGCTGCAAAAATTAAGAAATGTAATTAAATATTCTTCATTTAAGTCCAAATGCATATATGTCTATCATTGTTTTGACAAAAAACTTAATACTCAAAAATAAAGAATAGGTTAAACTAGTTGTAAGCCAGACATTATTTTATAGACTCCATCAAAATCAACACAAGTGGTTTTTTTTCTTATCATCCTTCAGCAAATCAGTGGCACGTATCATATGTACTCAAGTCTCCGATGTCAACTGGTAACATATCTGAGAGTCTAAAGTAGACACTCATGGGAGCATTGTTTCTTTCTTAGCTTTTCAGTTTTAGCAAGGAGATAACACTCATTATTTCTCATGAACCAAATATAAAGATACTGTCTCCTTAGGTATAAAGTATTTTAATTCAGCAGTGAAGCCTTTTTTGGCACAATTCCAATATATTTTCTAAAGTTCAGTTAGAAATCTTTAACATAAACAGGGATTATTTAAGAATGCCTAACATTTCTTAAGATATTTCTTCATTGTTTTATTCAAATGTCTAAACTTGTAAAATAAGGTTATTTTTAAAAGTGGAAGTAGAAAACCGAAGTTTGCATCATAAGGCCATATTGTAGACTCTAATACTTTCTTTTGATGCCTTCTGTCTTTGCTCTGACATACACTGTGCAGGATTTTAATGCCAATTTGACACGGCCCAGAGTCATCTGGGAAGAAAGAATATCAGTTGAAAATGCCCTCATGAAACTGTCCAGTAGAGCATTTTCTAACTAGTGATTGACAGGGAAGCACCCAGACCCTTGTGGCTGGTACCATTCCTGGTAGGCAGTCTCAGCAGAGTATTAGAAAGCAGACTGTGCTGGGCGGTGGTGGTGCACACCTTTAATCCCAGCACTCAAGAGGCAGAGGCAGGCAGATTTCTGTGAGTTCAAGACTAGCTTCGTCTACAGAGCCCATCTATTTTGCGAGATTAATGTTGACCACATATCCCTGGCAATGCAGGAGGTGTTTGAGTGAAAACAGGAAGCAGAGTGTGAGCATATATGTGCATTGTTATTGAAGTAGCTAGACCTTGCTAATAGGCACAGGAGCTTACTACACTGGGCCTTTTCTGAAATTATATTGTTAAGTACATATGAGAATCTTTAAAATACTATCCAGTATCATCTAAGAAACATTTTTAAGAAAAGAAAAAAAAAAGAATGAAAAGCATGATTCTAGTTCCTACCCACCCTTGCGGTTCTAAGCCTAAATCATGGCAGCGAGATACTTATCTATCAATTAATAAGCACTAGGAGTACGTGCTTTCATCACAATAAGGCTTCCAGATAAATATTAAAAATAAGTCACAAAAAGAACCAGAGCATTTTAAACTGAGAAAGACGGTTCACAATATCTTTAGTATTACTTGAGAAATGCATATCTAGATAATTTTATCTTTTCCCTATGAGCCATCCCTCCCACCCCCATGAGGACTGAGCACAGAATTCTCTGTCACTTGTCACTCTTCCCGTCAGCAACTCCCCACAGCCCAGGCACACTATGAACTGTAATCCATCAGCCTGGACCTCTGAGCTGGGACTTTAAGCCTATGCCCTTAGGCAAGGCTGCCAAGTTTTCTTTCGAATAAAGGTTTTCATTTCACCCTTAGGGTGAAATCTTACTTTAAGTAAGATCTCTCAAGCTCAGTTCTGTTGCCAGTTAGAGCTAAAACAATATGGAGGCCATTACTGTGGAGTGTTTAGCAACATCCCCACCTACACCCACCAGATGTCAGGAGCACAAGTTCAACCCGTAATAATCACAACATGTCCAGACACAACGTAATGTTTCCTGGACGAGCCATCCTCAGTTAAGAACCACTCTCCTAGAAAGAGGCACAGCTTGTGCTACAGACTCAGGCGGATGTGAAGAGGATTCAAAGTACACTGGAGGCATGGTAGAGACCAGAACTGGTTCCTTATAAAACACTGCGATACAAGCATTGTCAAAGAAATTTTACTTGGGTTCTGAAAACACATCAAGAGGAAACCCTCTGTGGCCTCTGCATCAGCTCCTGTCTCCAGGTTCCTGCTGTGTTTGAGTTCCTGTCCTGACTTCCTTCAGTGATGAAGCATAATCCTAATAAACCTCTCCCCCTCCTCCCAATTCTCTTTGGTCATGCTTTTTCTATTACAGCAATAGTGACCCTAACTAAGATAACATGTACAGGTCTTTGATTTTTGCTCCACTTATTGACATGTCTAGTTTTTTGTTTGTTTGAGTTCTTTTTGTTGTTGTTTGTTTTTACTAGTACCATGGTTTATAACAGTTTTGTAATATAGCAAGAAAACTGGTATAGTAATAACTCTAACATTGTACTTTTTACTCAGAAATATTTTAGTTATCTGGGGTCTTCTGAGGTTACCTATGAGTTCTGGAATTTTTATTGGGTCTACACTGAATTTATAAGTCTTTTGGTAGGACAGTCATTTTTACAATAATTCTACCAATTTCATGAGCTCTGAAAGTCTTCTCATGATCTAGTGTCTTCTTCAATCTTTCTTTAAAGTTTTCATAAAGAAATCTCTCGCCTTCCTGGTTAATATTTATTTGTACATTATTTAATTTTGTTTTGATTCTATTTTTTAAACTCCAATGGCCCACTTTAATATATTCCCTGTACTTGTTACTAAAAATTCAAACAAGATTGCCTTTATTACAAATTTCTGCAAATGAGAAAATCCAAAGATCTATCCCAATTATTACCTTCTAAACCAAAACACTCCCAAATTCTATTGACATTCTTTCAAGTTATTGTATTTAACCCCAGACTTGAGGCTTATAAAACTCACAGAATATTTGATATTCATTCTTGATTTTGGGGTCAAATTAAAGTCATTCACATGTATTCAAACTTAACACATTCTATATCATGTAACGGTAACAAGTGTGGAGATCACCCAGCACCAGAAAAATCAATCAATCAATCTACCACAAAACTCACTACTGTACAGTTTAATCTTAAAAACAAAACCAAAAACGTTCACAACTGCTGTATGGCATTATGAGCAGTAAGGGCAGTATACAGCTTATCCCTGGATTGACTGTCCTAATTTTTCCTAAGTTTAGCATTCTCGGAAGGACCCTACCTGTGGCACAGGCACCTGAATGGCTCACCTCTACAAACTCATTCCCATCACGGCTCTTTACTTTCTTTCCCTTCCTCATCAGTTTCTTCACCCTTGCCACAGGGTCTTGGTGCGCAGACAGTAATGTACGGACTCTTCTCTTGGGAAAGGCACTTTGGATCTCTCTCAAGATTTTCTCACTTTTGTTCTCAAGCAGTCTCATCTTCACTGCACGGCGGAGGTGGCAGCTGCAGTGGAGGCTGCAACGAAGACCACATACTGCCGGGGAAGCAGGAGGCTTGTAGGCACTGGAGTTGAGAGTCAGCTTTTTTAGGTCCTTTGCTAAGTGTTCTGGCTGTGAGATTCAAGATTCATCCGAGGAGTCTTGTTCATCTGACTGAGGATATTCTGGGTTCAGGAGTGGGTCGAACTCTGATGGATCCTCCATGACAGTGGGCAGAATCCTTGAAAGTTAGCTTCAGACTAGTTAGTTTTGGAAAAGATAGAGACCCAATCTCACTAGCAGAGGCAAAGTCTTGATTTTAAATGTGAGTGTTTGGGTATATATAATGTAAATCAATTTTATAGGTCAATTTCATGTACTAATACTTTGCTAAAAGAACAGGTCATTTCTAAAAGTTATCTGGTGGAATTTTGGTGATTTCTTATGAATAATATATCATATTCAAATAGGAATAATTTGACTCCTTCCAGTTTGTATTCTTTAATTTCCTTCTCTTGTCTCTAACTAGGGCACTATACTGAAAAGGACTGGGTAATAATAAAAACTCTGCCTCATTCTTGACATTAATATAATGCTTTGGGGTCTTCATTATTTAGGTTTATGTTGGCTAGAGATTTATTGTATACAGCTTCTACTATGTTATAGTATGTTCCCTCCAGTCCTACTCTTTCTAGGACTTCTATAAAGATAGAATGTTGGATTTTGTCAAAGGCCTTTTCTATACCTCTTTAGATGATCGTATGATTTGTCTTTAAGGTAGTTTATATGGCTTGTTGCATTTATTGAGTCACATATGTTGAATCATTCTTGCTATGATTTTTCTATTATTTCTTGCCATCTACTACTGGATTTGGTTCGGTTTTATTTTTCCAAATTGCTGAGTTGCATCATGAAGTTATTTGTGTTCTTTCTGATGTTTTAATGTAGACTGTTGGAGCTATAAACATTCCTCTTGATAATGTTTTTAATGTGTTCCAGAGGCTTTGTTATTCTGTGTTTTCACTTTCTTTCATTTAATTTCAGGAAGCCAAAATTATTCTTTCTTGACTTGTTCTTTGAATCAAATATGATTCTGACTGAAGTAACCCAGATGGAGGAAAAAAAAATGTCACACATTCTTTCTTATTTCTAGATATAGGCTCTTAATCTTTATTTACATATGTAACCTGGAGCAATTGCGGAAACCAGGAAAGGGAAGAAGGTACACAGTGTGGGAGATAGGGGTGATATTCTAGAAATGAGGCTAGTAGAAGACAGATGCATGGAAGAGAAAAATTTAAAAACATGGAACATTTTAACCAGGAAAGGGACAGCAAGGGCAATGCAAAGGGTAAAGCAGGGAAGTGGGATAAGCAATGTGAAGGACGCTTGAAAAAGCCACAGGGAAACTTTCTTTATGTTTCCTTTAAATAGATGTATGGACACCTGTTCATAGTTTAGATTTCTTCTCTTCTACTCTCTTTGGTATTATTTGTTCTTGCTGTTCTATAACTCTCAGGTGTGTCATTAAATCACTAATGAGATTTTCCAGTTGTTTAATGTGGGCCCTTTGTGTCATGAACTTGCCACTAAGAAATGCCTTCACTTGTGTCACACAGGTTTGGCTATAATGTGTTTTCATCTTCATTCAGTTCTGCACAGTTCTTTATTTTCTTCTTGACTGCTGTCTTAATTTTTGTTTAGTAGTAGTTGTTCATTTTCCAAGAGTTTTTACACTTACTGCTCTTTCTGTTGTTTTTGAAATCCATGGGTGGTCAGATAGAATGCAAGGTATTATTTCAATTTTCTTGTATCTGTGAGGACTTCCTTTATATCCAAGTATGTGGTCAATTTTAGAGAAAATCTACAAACTGCTGAGAGAAAGTATATTCTAGAACTATACTATTCAAGGTGTTTCTTCATAGAAATGTCTGGTCTGGTCTTGGCTGAGTGGGTGTTCTGCTTAGGTTGCTTTTCCCACTCTGGATCCCAGACAATTTTGGTAGATAGGAAAAACAAAGTGTTTCTATGGCTCAATGGTAACACAGAGAAACAGAAACGGTCTAGGCTGAGAGAACAGCAGGACAGAACCAGACAACTCTAGGACTGCATCAAGAGATCGAGTCCCCAGGGAACGGAAATAAGGTAGGAGGAAGGGCTCCTGTAAGCAGTTTGTAGCAGGACTAAGAAGTCCAGGAAGACCTAAATGGAAGACAGGAAGTAGAGAAAATTGCGTACTTGTGTCTCAACCTGGAGTTGCCACTAGGGATCCCTGGTTGAAAGTGCTTCTGCAAGTCAGCAGCTAACACAAAGAAATAGAGATAGGCTAGAAACAAAGGCTGAGCAAGTCTAAGCAATAGCTTTTTCTAAAAAGGAAAGAAAACAAAAGACAAAACTGCAGGCAAGGATTGGGAAACGGGAATACATATGCACTATTGGTGAAACTGCAAACTGGTACAGTCTCTATGAAAAAGCCAGTGCGCTGTTTCCTTTAAAAACTTAAAAATAGGTCTTCTAGGCCAGGTGGTGGTGGCGCACGCCTTTAATCCCAGCACTCGGGAGGCAGAGGCAGGAGGATCTCAGTGAGTTCGAGACCAGCCTGGTCTACAAGAGCTAGTTCCAGGACAGGCTCCAAAACCACAGAGAAACCCTGTCTCAAAAAACCAAAAAAAAAAACAAACAAAAAAAAAAAAAGGTCTTCTATAAGACACAGATCTTTCATTCCAGGGCATATAGCTAAGGAACCTAAGATCCTACTACAGAGACATACACTCCTCCATGTTCACAGATGCTATCCACAATAGCTAAAACGGATAAATAGCTAGATGTCCATCAACAGATAAATGAATAATGAAAATGTGGTACCTATACTTAATGAGTTTTATTTGGCTAAAATTGAAAGGAAATTTGTGAGTAAATACATGGGTCTGGGAAACATAACACTGAGTGGTGTGCGACAATTGTCTATATTCTTTCAATTATGTTTTAAATAAATGCTGATTGGCCAGTAGCCAGGCAGGAAGTATAGGCGGGACAACGAGACAGGAAGTAGAGGCAAGTAAATGAGAACAGGAGAATTCTGGGAAGGAGGAAGCCCATTCCTCCCCAGTCCTGCTCAGACACAGAAGAAGATGTAACCTATCCTGCTGAAAAAGGTACCAAGCCATGTGGCTAACATATACTAGAATGAGCTAATATAAGTTATAAGAGTTAATAAGAAGCCTGATCTAATGGGTCAATCCAGTTTATGTTAATGTAGACCTCTGTGTGATTTCTTAGGGCTAAACAGTTGTGGGACCTGATGGGAGGGCAGAAACCAAGCAGGACAGAAACCCCAACAACTGTGTGAAGAAATGCATATGCAGAAGAAGAAATGCTGAACATTGTTTAGACCTATACAGTACAGAATACTAAGAAATCAACCACTGACAAGGAGGGGGACAAAAATCTTATGGGACAGGGGATAGCAGAACACAGGTAATATGAAGGAAAAAGGGGAAATCATGGGGTGGCAGGTTTTAAAACAGAGGATGTCAGTGTATGGCTGAGGCAGGAATGGAGGAGAAATATATAACACTAAGCATGTTTTTAGAAGCTATATTTTAAAAATCTACTATTTTATGAGCAACACAATATCATATTTAATTAAGAGTTTAAGTAGAGCTATTCTACATAAGGGATAAGAAACCACAGGCTGTCAAGTGAAAAACCACTTCCAGGCAGAGGAAGATACCCTCTTTTGAGTTGTTGGTCAGGGACATACTTCGGATCCTTCTACTGACCTATTGCCATTGCTCTACTTTTTCCACCAAAATTTGATTATGAGATGGTATTGCTAAAGATACCACTATATCACAGCACATGGAAAAACCAGGTTGGTACTGACCAAGAAGCTTCCTCTTTGGTGGCTAACCTTTAAAGTACTGAAAGATGCAGGATTATGGAGTTGAGGGATGACATCAACAGGCTTATACATCTGTGAACCCCGTGAGCTATAATAATGACTAGCATGACAAAATATGTCTATGGATAGATCGGGAGCTGGAATGGTAGGATCAAGTGGGAAGGGGAGATAGAAGTGGGTTTCGGCAGGAAATAAAGAAAGGGACAGCTAAAATTAGGGCACTGAGGGGTAGTATAGTAACCTGTTACAGTAAAAATATTTCTAAAATATATACATATATGAAGGCTATTTAAATGAAATCACCACATAATGCAGGAGACAAACCCCTGAAGGCCATCTCTTGTCACCAACCAGGTTTTCAATACAGGGATTTAGTTTACATCTAATTGAGTTGTTGGCCAAAGGGGTCCCATGAGAATCCCCAAACAACACAGGCTCAACTATAGGTAGTTTTCCACAAACTGCTGCAAGGCAGCATTGTTGAAGACAACACCACACAACTCAGTGAACATGGAGATGTCACCTGCATAGAGCCTTTATCCCTAAATTCCAGCATCTTTATTACAGGAATACAGAATATTCTGCATACTCTAGAAAGACAAATATAAACACCAAGCCAGCCACAAAACCTTTATCTACAATGCTGTATTGCTTGCAAGGTATGTCAGAGTACAAGAGACACAAAGCTTGTGGGAATAACCAACCAATAACTGACTTGACTTAAGGCCACTCCATCAGCTGGAACCTATACTCAAGAGGACTTGGCTGACCAAGAACCAGAGACTAGATATCCCAGGGACCTAGGGGAAAATTGAATAATAGAAGTCTTACAAAGGGAAAAAAATTAATGATAAAATGACACTTAATGATATTCTGCTACACGCATAGATCACTACCTTGTTCAGCCATCATCAGAAATGATTCCTCCTGCAGCAGATGGGAACAAATACTGAGACCACAACCAGCCATTACACAAAAGAGAAAGACTTTGGAAGCCCTAAACGGGATGTTTCCAACAAATCCCTTCCCTTAGAGCTCAGGGAACACCACAGAAGAGGAAGTGGAAAGAGTCTAAGAGGCAGAGGAAGGAGGACATCAAGAAAGCACGTCTAAATCAACAAGAACAAAGCTCATACGAAGTACAGAGACTGACGCAGTATACACAGGGTCTGCACAGGCATATATATGGTGTGTGTGTGTGTGTGTCTTCTGGTTTAGTGTTTCTATGGGAATACTCTACGTACAAACAAATGGGTCTCTGACTCTTGAGACTTCTCTTGGATTCTTTTCCTTCTGTTGGTCTATCTTGTCCAACTTGGTTTTGTTTTATCTTGGAATAATTTATTCTTTTATGCTTTTTAAAACATAAATGAATGATACTGAGTGGTAGTAGCACAGGCCTTTAATCCCAGAACTAGGGAGGCAGAGGAAGGCAGCTCTGAGTGTGAGGCCAGTCTCTCTATAGAACAAGTTCCGGGGCAGCCAGGGCAACATAGAGAAAACCTGTCTCAAAAATGGGAGGGGGGGAGGGATGGAGGGAGGGGGGAGGGGAGGGAGGGAAAGAAAGAAGGAAGCCTAGTCACTAGGGTAAAGTTAACACATAGCCTAACACTTATACCTGCTAGGAAAAGGGGAAATTTTTTCTCTAATAGAGTAACATTAGGTATATCAACATCTTTTATGTGGTTACAGTTTGATGCTGGGTTTTGGAGGGCTATATTTTCATAATTTTTTTCTTGGTTTTGCAGGTTTTGTTGCTGTATTTGGGTTTTAATTGTTTTTTAAGAAAGAACTGAAAGTTTGGGGTAGAGTATCTGGAAGGACTTGGGGGGGAAAGAATATTATCAGATATATTTTAGCTTAAAATTATTTTAAATAAGAAAAAAGAAAATGTAAGTCAGTGCCTGCTATATGTTTTATCAGAGGCTTTAAAATATATATCCTTCCAAATTATTATAGGTTTTAGGAAATATAAATGTTCATACCATGTTTGAGAATTTTTAAGTCAAAAATCTGAATTATAAACTTGTGGCATGAATACTTAGAATTATATATACAAACAAATTAAATAATTTAAGTATAAAAAATAAAACTGAATTTGACAAAGAGAAAGAAAGATAGAATTTAAAAATTTAACAAAACTAAAAAACTCAGGAGAAAGCCTTATAAGTAGAATGGCTTAAATACAAGATAGCATATCAGCACTCAGAGAAAAGGTAAAGCAATTAGACCACACAAGCAAAAACTGTGAAGGAAGATAAAGAAACAAGAAAGAAAAATGCAGGAAATGTGGGACAGTATAAAAAAGACATATTTAATTTATAAGCATAGATGGAATAGAATCCTGGACCAATGGGATAGCTCAGGCCTTAAACAAAATCACAGAAGGGCCAAAGCTAAAGCTAGATGTACACTGACACAGGAAGCACACAAAACACCAAGCACATAAGATCCAGAGAAAAACTCCCCACACCATATCATAATTAAAACATTAAACATACTAAACAAAAAGTATTAAAATATGCAAGAGAAAAAATACAAGCCACGTGTAAGGAAAATCCACTGGAATATCAGCTGATTTCTGTAAGGAAACTGAAAACCAGAAGATTCTGGAACAATGTACCTCGTTATAAAAGAAAGGCCACGGATGCCAACCAAGACTACTATTCCAAGCTAGAGTATCTACTACAGCTGAAGGAGAAAGAAAAACTTTCATGATATAAAGGGGCTAAAGAAATTTATGACCACCAAACACCCCTGCGGAAATATGGAAGCAATACTTCAGAATGACAGGAGGAATAAACACAGAAAAGAAACCGTAGACACACTGACGTGATAATTACTGAAACAAAAAGGACGAATAAAATACAAGTGGAATAAAGAAACAAAACAAAATGATGCAATCAAGAAACATCTTTCAACAATAACTTTCAACATTAATGGCTCAACTCTCCAATCAAAAGATACAGGATGGCTGATGGGTTAAGCAACAAAATACATTTTTTTCATTTGTCTACAAAAACCTCATCTTAGATTTAAAGATGGCATCACCCTTAAAGTGAAAGGACGGATAAAAGTATTCTGAGCAAATGGAACCAGAAAGCAAGCTGTGGTGAATTTTACAGTTGGGTTTAACCATTAGGGCTTCCTATACCTTCTGTAGAAGCATGTATTATAAGGGCTTTCTCAACCACAGAGGACTGGATACTAGCACATATTATGATCATTTCACTAATGAATG